TATGTGTATATATACTTATACTTATATATATATATATAATATTTATACATACACACACACGTACATACTCGGGAGCTCCACAGAATGGTGTTACGATTCACAGATGCTTCTGCATCAATCAGAGCCTGTTGTACGAATGCCCAAACTTGGAATGCTGTGCTACAAAGCTCCTGAACAAACACTTTCTAATCAAGCAAGTTAACGAGTTATTTCGACCATAAAGACTCAAATCCTACTCAAAGTCCTGAAATCCTCGTCGAACACCCCAACCAATTCAACAAGCTGCAACATTGAGCTTTTACATGCTCAAACAAATAGAACCCCCTCAAGTCTAAACACGGACCTGCCAACGTGCAACAATGTCACAACAATCCGCGGAGTAGGGTTCAGGGTTTGGCTTGATTGAACCCCAGAAATACGAGCCCGATTGCCTCTGTTCTTGGCGATGGTGTGCTCACAGGCCAGGATCAGCGAGTCTGCACCCGGATCGTAGTTTTCCGCCAGGTGCGGATGTTCCTCGGCAAGCTTTGTGTTTACGAGGTGAGGGGGGGCGGCCTATGTAAAACTTTGGGTTGTATAAATTGTTGTATGCGCAGAACAATATTGGCCATTAATCAAGCTTCCATATTGGGCCCCGTTGGTTTAAGAGTTTTGGCATTACGGTCACAGGGAAGCCTTGACTCCCAATCACAGCTCTTGCTCAAGAGTTCATTATCATTAGCTTCGGACTGGAGCCACGAGTGCTCCCTTGCACGACGCTACAGTAAGATTCGCCTGCAATGCATCCAACAAGCCAGCATGCAGTTCAGCGAATTAAAGTGCTTGCACGTGAATGCTGCGCATTGGTGCTGCAAAGGGGCTACTTTGAATCTGATTTGATGTAGACAGGGCGATGGCAGGCTCGCCCGGAATTTGAAGCCCACAACCGAAAGTGGATTCCGAAGGCTTGGCCGCAGCTTTTATAGCCTACATCCCGGCATTCATCACTATCGAGACGAGGCTTTGATTCAACACCTTTCATTTAGTAAACAACCAGTTTGAAGCTCACAGTGCTGCAGAACTCTTGGCCAGGGCGCCACGATGGAAGAGAGGGGATCCTGGATGAGACACCTTGAGTGTTGGTCTTGGGTCGGAGCTGTGGGTGTCGGCTAATGGGATTTCTGAAACTTTGGGCTCTGGGCTTTGAGGTTTCCGGGGTTTTTCGGGGTTTAGGACGAGTGATGGGACCTGCGTAAACACCAGCCGGTTATTCGGCCCGCCAGGCTCCAAAAAAGGGATCTTCAAGATTGAAAGGGTTGTTGCGGTGATTCTGACCATGGTACTATGCTGTGTCTGGTGGGCCTGGCAAGGATTGTATTTTTGCGCATCTGTACAGGAGCGCATGTGCTAAACCAGGGACCGCTCATTGTCATACACGCTCGCGTCGGTGCCGAAGAAAACCACAACCGACAACTTTGACTCCACGCGTCGGAATCCCAGCTTTTCAATCGCTACAGCTAAGAACATAGTTGCCGAGCCTTCCTTCTAGAAGCTCAGAATCATCCCTAAACCCGTTGCACCGAAACACTACGTGAAAGACCCCTACTAAACCCTAAAACGGTTGAACCCCTGAACCCGCCCGGGGCCCTGAACCTCCAAAGCCAACAAAAAATGGCTAGCTTTCTAAATTAGGCTTGCTTTTGGGGTCCTTTCTGTAAGGGTGCCGTACCATCTTCGGGATCTTAAAATAAAGAAAAGGGACCCTAGTTTAGAGAACTACGTAAATGGCTCTTCCGCCCAGGCACCAGGGTTCTCCGTCTGCTGCAAGGGTCCCGGCGCCAGCGCACCTCCCTCCGCTGTTCGGCGCCCAGCCCTCCTGGGGTTTCGGGTTTTAAATCGTATCCGGGTGGAGGATCTACGACGCTTCGGGTGGTCTCTCTGGATTTAGGGTGTAGGGTTTAAAATTTAGGGTTCCGGGTAGTCGGAGGTCAGGATTAACTGCTTGAGGCTTTGAGGCTATGGCCGTCACTCTTATCTCCATCTCCTCTCCTTCAGGAGGTGGTCCTTGACCAGGGCTGTGCAGCCCCTGTCCAGGAAGTCTCCCATGTTCGTCGCCGAGGGCCGGTGAAGATGATCCCAGAGAACTTTGAGCAACTGCTGGCAAACGTTGCCTCGGTTAAACGAAAGCAAGCAGTACTCAACACCCAGAAGCCCCGAATCCCACAAACTTGCATGGCCCACTGTACTCTCTCCGGTCCACACCTTCGAGCCTTGGAAGTAAAGGCCCAGTCGCAGCCCAAGCCCCTCGCCAGAGATACGGCCAGGCGCCTCATGACCGAGCACATATAGGGCGTCAGCTCCCACGAGGTAAAGTGGGCTCCAGGTCTTTTCGTTAGCCTACCTGTTTCGAAGCCTGTGCCCGACACCACTCCTAGATTACCAGGCGTTGAAGCCCAGATCTCAACGCAAAACAGAGGTCAAGAAGACTGAAACCCCTTAGCCCGAGCTACCTAAACCTAGAGCTCCCAAGACCAACCCCGCGCATGTTCGTGACTCCGGCCATGAAGCAAGCCACACTACCCATAGCCCAGAAGCCTCCAAAAACCTCAGAACCCCTCAGACCCCAGACCTCCGAAACCTCCGAAACCCGAAGGCCCTTGAGCCGAAGGCCTTTCCCGAACCCCTGAAGCTCAAGACCGATGAGCCCTCGACTCGAGCTCCTGCTTAGGGTACGTACCAAACCCAGATGACACAGACTCGAGGCGCTCAGAAACCTCCCAAAATCTGAAAAGCCGGAAAGCCCGAGGACGAAAGACAAGCGCCCCAAACCTGCTTATTAGGGTTTAGGGTTTAGGGTTTCGGCCCTATACCTAAACCCCGCACCTCTCCCTTCAAAGCCCGGCCTGCCGGCGAAGGTCGGCGGCCCGGACTCTCCGAGCCGCGAGAATCTCTGGCGCTCCGGAGCAACGAACCTGAGGTTCGCGAGTTTTGCGGGCAGGTGGCTGGGTTTTGGGGTGATGGCCGTTTTGGATTAGAATCTAGGGCTTGTAAGGATATAGGGACGAAGGGGCCAGTAGGGTGTAGGGTTGATGTTTTTCGAACACACGTTTTAAGGATGCGAAGGACTCTTGTTACGGGTTCAAGCATCGAGTCCTAAACCTTAGGATCCTAAACCCAACCCAGGCGGTCGCAAAGTCGGTGACGAGTTGGTCAGTTTGTAGCAGTGAAATTGGGGAATGTTTTCTTTTTTTGGGTCTTGATTAGGTATATTACAGAAGAGTTGCAAAAAGAAGACCCACAATCCATCGAGAAGTCATTCATAGATTTTAGACCCGAAAGTAGGACCAGGGATCAGGGGGGGTGCCGAGGCTCCGACGGCCTAGACCTAGACCCTAAAAGCTCTAAACCTCAAGGACCCTGCACCTTAAGCCCAGACGCGTGCGCCATTCGGCATGTGCGGCGGAGCGATCCTCGAACGCACTAGAACAGCCGACTTTTGCTGGGCGTCATTCCTTGAATCAGCCCGAACCCCACACACCCGCCCCAGACCAACAATCCGACGTTCCTTCACGGATCTTACGAAAACCAGCTACCAACCTGACGATAAAGCTTTCCAAACCCAAGAAGAAACTCCCTTTTTCCTCCATAATCCCCCAGTTTTGAAATTGTTTTTCCAAAAAATAGACCAGAGAGCAACCCAACAAACACACGAAAAACAAAAAAAAAAAGTGCCCCCAGAAAAAAAAAGGGGCCCGTTGCCCCCCCTTGGCTCCTCGAAGGAGCCGGCGCCGGGATCGAGGCCGCTACCCCAGAGCTCGGGGCCGGTCCGCCTCGTCTCAAAAAGGGGGGAGAGAAGCGATCCATTTTTTTTTTGGGGGGGGGGGGGGGGGCGG